CCCTGGGCGGCTGAGCCGCTTCCTCCTCCTGCGGAAGACGCCGTCGGCGAAAGTGTACTCGGAGTTGGGGTTGAGCATCCAGTAGTTGTCCTTGCCCCACGGCCGGGCCGGGTCCCGCAGCACCTTGACGAAGCAGTCATTGAGCGACAGGTTGTGCCGCACCGAGTTGCGCCAGCCCGTGTAGGCGCCGCGAAAGAAAGGGAAGCGGCCCATCAAGTACTCGTTGATCTCCGCCAGGGTCAGGCGGCCCCCGGCCGAATCCCGGATCGCCATGGCGATCAGGGCGATGTACGAGTAGGGAGGCTTCGGGCGGCGCGTGTATGGCTTTCCAGGCAGCCCCACCGCCGCTTGACACTCGCCCCCCGGGGAAGGCGACGGTGACGGCTCCGAGCCCTGCCGGGGAGAGCCCCCGCAGCCACTGGCCGGACTAAGCGCCGCGCAGTCCCCGTCGGAGCCCAGCTCGCTCTCGGCGGCCCGCGGCGACGCTTCGCTGCTGCCTTCGTGGTCGCTGACGCTGTTGCTGCTGAGCTTGTCCTCGTATCGCGGAGCAAAGATCTCCAGCTTCATGGTCGCGCCTCCAGCTCGGCTACAGCTGCCCGCCTCCCAGAGCGCTCCTGCCTCCTCCCTCGGCGGAGCGGGCTTCGGGGCTCTGGCGACCTAGGCTTCGGTCTCCGGGAGACAGTATCAATAGTGGGGGTGCATGTCGACTTCGTCAAAGTCTCGGGATGGGGGCGGGTGGGGGAGAAAAATGTAGGAACAGCTCGTCCCCACTCTGGAACCTCCGAAAGGTAGGGCGTGGTTCCAAAGCGCTGGCAGGTGGGCTTTCTCTTTCCCTCTGCAGACTCTCCCTAGAGGAAGCCAAATTCAGCTCCCTCCTGGCAAGGCCAGGGTTTGGAGAAAAGTTGGCGATGTTTGTATTCTTTGGAAAAGTGTTTCGGAAGCGGCAGCGGGTGGCTGGGGGAGCGTCTTGGAGCGCGTCTCAGGTGCGGTGTTCTTTTCCCACCCGCCCGGCGACCGTCGCTTTCTTAGAAAGCAAACTCAGCGCGCTTCGCTCTTGGCAGAGCAGAGACGTTCGGGTGAACTTTTATTTCTGGCGCCAGCTTCTTCTCACCACCTGGGCAGGGTTTCCAAATTTGAACGCTGTCCCCCTAGAAGCGTCTGACCAGGGTAGAGATGCTTTTCTTCAGGAGATGCCGTCGCTCCCTCCCTCTCCCTTCCTCGTCGTTTGCTTCACGCGGTGAAGTTGAGAACAACAGGTGGCTGGAAAGTTGGAAGCAACTTCAAACTATTCCCTTCCGCGAAGCGATTCCTGAGTTTTTCCGCGGAAGCGCCCCGAAAGGCACGCGCAAATCCTTCCCGATCAGGATTAAAAGCCACAGCCACGACCACGCAATGAAACCGGGGTTTGAACGCAAAGGTTGGTGGTAGTCCGTTTCCTCGTCCAGTCTCGTAAGGAGCGTTCCCGGCTCCCGAAGGAGGCGCAAGTCGGAGCTTCCTCGCAGTCCCTCGTGGACGAGCAGCTTGCTGGCGGGCGCAACACCCGAGCTGCCGCCGCTGTCATTAGTGGTATATATTGTCATTATCTCTCTCCGGGACTGTGGGCCAGCCCATTCGAACGCTGGGCAGGAGGGGGAGGAGCTTCCGCCACACCTCCGCCCTCCCCCGAGAGGCTACTGGGTGGGGATGCGAGGTGGCTTGGCAAAGGTGGGCACCTACGAGGCCGTCGCCGCGAGCTCTCTCTGGGAAGAAGTTGGTGCCTGTTCTGGACAAGCCCCACCTTCTCCCTGGGGTGTCGCCCAATGAAACCGCCGCGACGGGGTGGCTCCTCCCCTCCGCTCCTTCCCTTTTGCAGAGCGGGATCCTTGTCTCAGGTGCGAAGGGCGAGCAGTGTTACAGGTGGCGGAGTCCGACCTGCTGTCTGCCTGGTCGCCTTCCTCGGTGTAAGCGAGTTCTGCCCTTCGCAGAATTTTGCAGGTCCCTTCGGCGGGCGACTGGCGCGCAAGGCGTTGCTTTGATTGCTGTTGATTACAATGAGCAAGGCTTAGCCTGGGGAGGTTAAGAATTCAAAAGCAGTGTCCCGCGAAGGGGTGAGTGAGTCTCAACCTAGCCTGCTTCGCGGAGATTAAACGCCGTGAAGAAATCAGTGTGCCCTTTGAGCTATAAAATCCAACAACATTTACAGTGGAGTGCTGCAAATTATTATACCTGTAGAGTCTGGTGGCTTGGAGTTAGGGAATGCTGACAGCCTGCCCGTGAAAACTCCAGGGAGATTTTTTAAGGCTTTCAGGCGCAAGGAGGGAGAGCCATTTCTGGGGTGGTTGCTGGGCTGTGGAGTACCTTCTCCAGGGAGCTGTGACTGGCAACAGCCCATTTTTGGTGCCCCATCAAAACCTCTCTGTTTGGCTTAGGCATTTTCAGCTCATTTATTTTTAATTTGGATAATGTGATTTGGCTAATTTATGTATTGCCTGCCTTTTATTGCTGCAGTTGTCAGGAGTTTTGTTTACCATCCTGGTATACAGTGAAGGCTGGCATGAAAGCAATAAAACAAAGAATGAAGTTGTAAAACTCATCTTGGACCAGTTTTCCAGCCAAATCTTAGAATCTTCAATGGGAGAGTAGTGTCAGCTACTGAATTTCCAGTAGTTGGGACGTTCTAGAAAGTAGTAGCCTTTGCAGTGTGCATGTTCCTATTATCTGTATATACTAAAGTGATTATGAAAGCCACACATTTGTCTGGGTATCTGTAGGGCTCTTTTTATTACACCATCAGGCTGTAAATAAAAGCTGCTTGAACCCAGAACTACGGTTCTATAACTTTGCCCTGGGAAGAAATTGCAAAATTTTACCAAGTAGGTTAAAAGAAGAATAATGAGTGTTAAGATTCATCTTGATCATAGTTCATTTTCTAAATATGTCCAAAGTAGTTTTGGAATATTATAGCATTCATTTCTGAATCTGCAAAGGTGAAATTATATGATGCAGCATGATCCAAAACTTTTGAGTCCCATTTTCACTTCTGTTGCTTTTCAAAATTCATACTGAGACAATATGGAAAGTTTGTAACTTTTTTATAAATCTTGATCTAAGAATAGGATTGTCTCATTATTAACAAGCCTGCTTTTGTTCTTTACTGATTTTCAATGAGACTGAAACGTTGAGTGGATTGCCCCCAGTATTTCAAAACTGACTTTTATGGAATATTTCAAGTAAGGAGTGTGCCAGAGCAAAGCCAAACCTTTGTAAATCCTAATTGTTTACAGTGGGAAAGATTAGCTTTTCCATTGATCAGTGAGTCTTACAAATAATCCTACTTAAAAAAAAAGTTCATGGGATCATGCCATATGTATTTAAGCCTGCAGTGTTTAATTAAACTGGGGATATTATGATATTTCTTAATGTGCCCTGGAGTATTTTACCTAACCAAAGATTGCTAACTGCAGTCAAAGATTGTTTGGTGATTTACAATTTCAAAATGTTGATGGTAGCTGAGTTAAGGAAATT